TGTGCGTGTGTTTGTGCGTGTGTGTGTCCAAGCAACTCCTTCCCCTCCCACTGGTTCGATGTCAATGTTTCATAACTCATTTAAAAGCCCTAGAACATTTAAGAACTCTCAAGAGAATGGTGAATAGGTTTTAAAAAAGAGGGAACAGTAGAAAGGAAAACTGGATCAGGAGGTCACAACAGGAAGAGGGATAATCGTTTCAACTTAGAGCTAAAGAGATCAATTAGAAAAGATCCAACACAATCCGCAAGATGAGCGAGGAGTTTCAGATATGACAGTCCAAAGAGCAGTAAAAAATAAAAAAAGATTTGAAAGTGAAATCGTACGTGAAACGTGTGAGGCAATTTTCTTACTCCAGGACAGAAAATTAGAAGGGTAAAAAGAGTGAACATCATCTTCAATAAGTTGGAAGATGATCCTGGAATATATATATATATATATATAAAGATATTTTTGTAGGTACAAAATTTAATGATCGAAATAAAAGTGTAAAACTTAATATTGCTAGACATGTTAAAAAGCAACCGGTTTCGCTCCCGCTCTTCAGGCTTCAACGGGTGATTTAATTTAAATTAAACACAGAAAAATGTACAATAAAAGGAAGTTGTGGAAGGAGAAAAAATAGCATATATATATATATATATATATATATATATATATATATATATATATATAACAATAAAAATAAAAAAATTAAAATCTTCAGACACACTGGGTTGCAGATTAATATTCTTTCGTTTTTATTATTATTTCATTTAGATTCCTCGACTAGTTTCAGCCAACATGGCCATCATCGGGAGAAGAAATATCTCTGCTTGTTGGTCATATATATATATATATATATATATATATATATATATATATATTTATAATATATTATTTCAATATTTCAATACTTCATGAGGTTCCGATCCTTAGCTATGATTAATTAATGATGAACATGTCATTTTCGTTTATGATCGATTTCATCACGATTCTTCTGTTAGGCTTGGAGAGTAATTATACATTCTTCTTGTTCAAAGTAGAGTCCAATAGTGTTATAAAAACCTCGGAGAATTCCAATAAGATATCTTTAATCATCTATAAGATACAACGGTTCAAAGTTTAATCTAACAACTGGACAATTTTGCTGCTATGCGATTTGAACAAGTTTGCTGTTACACCTGGTATATATATATCAGTAGATATCTTTATGGAAGTTGTTTATTCGAAATTTTTTTTTCAGTATGAATGTAAACATTTGTAATTTAGCAACGCAGGCGTCCAAAGTAACTTGTTACCCACTCTCAAGCCTAGTTTCGTTAGCAGACTGGGTTAAGTTGAAAGTTTAACATATTGTTTCATATTTCCTTTACGAAGATGTTACAAATTGCTCACCCGTCCCTTTTGCTACGCATGCGTGCTTGTCTTTTTTATGTCGGCCATGTAAATTAGCCTTTTACACTGTTTACATGTTTCCCGTGTGTGCTGAAGAACTTTATTATTCTGTTGCATTGCTTCAGATATGATTTTTATTTCAAAACCAGATTCTTAAACGAATATAATTAGAGTCAACGGTGATTGAATAAAAGCATCCCACAAGAAAACGTAGAAAAAGGAGACACAAACACATTGGCAGAGTAAAGAGTCCCTGCTGGCCTGTTGAAAATATTTTAACGCCACATACACAATGTTAATAACTAGAATACCAAACAAATAGACAGTAGGATTTATTTTTCCAACTGAAACAAAAGACAAGATAAAGAGAAGAACAGACATCAAAGGAAGTAAAATGCAAGAAACGCAATATTAGGTGTATGAAAAAAACTGTTTTTTCAGTTAAAGAGGTGTAAACGCTTGTACAGGATTTGCAAATCTATCTATGTCTCTCGTAGTGTTGAATTCGAGTGACGTCAGCATTTTCCTTTAATACAATGTATCACGTACAAGTGCATGACTAAAACGGTTAAAATAAAACGAAGGTAGTTTGTATTTAGCGGAGGGGAAGAAAATAATTATCTTCCATATAGGAAGACCGACCGCTTGGAAATGCGAGGGGCCGTGAGCATGGACGTGCGGATGGTGTAATGGATAATGCCTCCTAATTGTTAATCGGAGAGCCGAGATCCAATTCCAGTAGGGTTTTGTTAGAGTCACTTACGTGCAAATACCCTTGGGAAAAGGTAGGAATACATCTATTCTCCCCCCCAGCTATGGGATAATTAGTAAGATTTTTATCACTCAAATCGTTATTATCACCACCCACGCCAAATAATTACAATCTAAAAATATTTTCTGATTTTAAATAAATTGCAAAGTGTTCCAAAGCCTTAAAACACGAATCACCCCACACCACCGCGCCAAAAAAAAAAAAAAAAAAAAAAATAAATAAATAAAAATAAAAATAAATAAATAAAACATATGACGACGTGTTGAAAAGTTTACGGTTAATGACGCATTTTTCAAAATGTAACCAAATAACTAGACACACACACACACACACACACACACACACACACACACACACACACACACATACATGCTTATGCACACATATCACACACACACCCACACACCCTCACCACACACACACACACACAATACATGCTTATGCACACATATCACACACACACACACACACACACACACACTCACCACACACACACACACACACAATACATGCTTATGCACACATATCACACACACACACACACACACACACACACACACACACACACGCGCACCCCACCACACACAAAATATGCTTATGCACACACACACACACACACACACACACACACACACACACACACACACACACACACACACACACACACACTCAAAAACAAACACTGTAACGCAATTATAATGCTTATTGCCTAAATCAAGAGGAGAAAACTAAGGAAGGTAAGACTTACCAGACAGCCGTAGAGAGACCAGTGTTCAAAAAGAAAATTCTCATGTTATAATGCTTATTATCTAAACAATAATAATAATAATAATAATAATAATACCGAATAATAAGTAGATACGAAGGGGAAACCTTTGGACAGCAAGGGAACAAGTCAGGTTGTCAAAAGCAAAGAAGGTATTTGACATCAAGAGGAAAACACCAAAGATGGTAACAGTTACCAGTCAACCGCAGAGATACCAGTGTTCAAGCGAAAATTCCCATGTTATAATGCTTATTACCTAAATAATAATAATAATACCGAATAATAAGTAGATACGAAGTGAAGACGTTTAGACAGCAAGGGAAGAAGTCACGTCGTCTATGCAAAGAAGGTATTTGACATGAAGAGAAGAACACCAAGGAAGGTAACCGTTACCAGCCAGCCACAGAGATACCAGTGTTCAAGCGAAAATCATCATGTTATTATCTAAACAATAATAATAATGAATAATATGTATTTTATATTTATTTTATATTTATTTTATTTACTTTTGGGTTTGTGGTTATTTAATTAGTTTGTTTTGTTTAAAGTATATTACCGTATCTGTGTTGTATATAAAGTAGGTATACAGTAAGTATTATACCATTGATATGTTTGTGTCAGTATAATAAGTTTTGCGACCGTTTTCTTTTCTTTACTGTATACCTACTTTTACATCACCCCAAATAATAGAAGAAAACGATCCTGCTTTCCCTCCTGACATATGCAGTGGCGTAGCTAGAGTAAACGTCACCCGGTGCGGTCTGCTCAAATATCACCCCAATGACCCCAATTCACCCTATGCTGAATGGTTAGCTGGAGCTAAATTTTCATACATGCTCTACCTCTACTTTACTCTACTAACCGGTACGTTACTGTTTACATGTATGATCCAAGACAAAATCCAATACCACAAAATAATCAGTTCAAATCAAAAGCTGAAAACATTGCTATTTTTCCTACTCACAAATTTCCCGACAATTTATTAGAAAATTTCTGACAGGGGGGTCATAAATTATTTCTGGGGAGTCATATGCCCGCCTGCGAAACCCTGTGTCTCCACCACTGTTTTCAGACTATTTTTGGCACCTTAGCCTGGTTGAAAAATTTTGTTGGGGGGTGATATTGTGTCACCCCTCCTGTGCTGGCACCTGGGGCGGTCCGCCCCCTCGCCCTCCCTTAGCTACGCCACTGGACATATGTATTCATAACTGGAGCAGAAAATCATCATCTTCTATCAAGTGTTCCAAGAATAGTTCTCAAACTTTTCCAATGCATAAACAATGATCTGGAATTGGTCTGAAAGCACTGTTCGCAACTATTCTGAATTTACCATTAAAAATTTAGATAGTTCGGTGTATGGATCAGTAATATCAAGTTAAGTATAGGAGAAAACAAAATTGAACATAGAATAGGCTGCGTCAGAAATAGCTTTGCCCAACAAACGTATATATATATATGTATATATATATGTGCATGTATGATTATGTGTTTGTGTGTGTGTGTGTGTATATATATATGTCGGGAAATATGCGGGTACATGTATGTAGATGCATATGCCTTTACACATATATGTGTGTTTTATTTTATGGGCTTACATATATATATATATATATATATATATATATATATATATATAGGTGTATGGGTCATTAGGAAAATCACATATATATATATATATATATATATATATATATATATATCAGAACGTAATATTTGTGTAGGCTGCGTGAATATAGACATCTCCACAAACATTTAATTTTAGGTATGGCACAAGATCATTAATGACAAAATATAAAACAAACAATATTCCCAGTTAGAAAAAAAGAATGAAGTATTTATGTAGCAAATGTAGATGTTAAAACTGAAGTGTAGTTTGTTGGTAAGTGAGTGAATTCGAGGTTTGGGATTATGCTAAATCTAAGAAACTTCAAAGATTTGAACGGCGTGAATTTGTTTAGCAAATTGTTTGAGGCTTCGAAGCTCACTGTTAATGGTTGAATGATTTTCTGTGTAAGGAGTGAATAAAATAAGTTCAGAGATGTGCAATGTTCGTACGTATGGGTGCTCACGTGTGCGCGTCTTCGATTAAGGAACAGGCGCAGCCTCTTCACTGACTACATCGTTGTGGTTCTGAGAAAACAAAGAAGAGAGAGAGAGAGAGAGAGAGAGAGAGAGAGAGAGAGTTGAAAATGTTTCCTTGCATTTATAATGTTGTATGTTACGTGATAGGTTCGAAACAGATTTTTGGTGGTAAATTAGCTTTAACGGTGCGCACGTAGTGGAAAACATGATATCAGCATTAACTGACCAATGAGGAGAAATATCAAGGCTCTGTGATTCACTTTTTGCACAGATTTTGCTGATCGCAGTGCTGAAATGTATTGGAATCTTTTTAACCAATGGAATTAGTTAGATCACAAATAAAATATTATTTAATTGAAGTAAAATAATATATATATATATATATATATATATATATATATATATAGAGAGAGAGAGAGAGAGAGAGAGAGAAAAGACAGAGGTGGACTGATGTGGGTTTCTGACCCTGGGTTTCACGCTCTCTGCGATCGTCAGACAAACCGATTAATTTTTGAATTTTGTGTTTATTTATGGTTGCGTATATCGGTGTTTTATGATAGTGGGAGGAGAAATTGTCGTCGAGACTCAACTCATACGTACGCAAACATACATATACACACGTTCACGCATTGCAGCTCATACAAACAAACATATATGAACAGTGTGTGCATATGCGCATCCATGTGTCGTTGCTAGGATACGTATGCAATTGGTCAGTTCAATGTTGGAATTGTGTAGCGAACTTCTTTTCAAGTGACAGTGTCAACGCACAGATCGTTCGTCTATTTTGTTCGGGAAATAATGTTTTCTCGCACACACATATATACGTATGTACGCGCGTTCACACACCTTGCATCCGTCTGTATTTTTTTTTTTTTTTTACTTAAGATGGGGTCTGTGTAAGAGTATGGTATGGTGTAAGAGTATGGTAGGTAAAATTATTATCATATTTAATTTTTTAATGCTTTAATTGTTTAATATATATATATATATATATATATATATATATATATATATATATATATATATATATATATATATTCAAATAAAAAGAATGAACAGTAAGATATGTAATCCGGTGTTCTTATTGATACTTTTTGTTTTTATTTTTTTACAAAATAGTGCTCAATGTAAATTTACAGAGCATTAATATTATAAATTTAATTGTTTAATATATATATTATATATTTAATATATATATTATATATATTATATATTTAATTGTTTAATATATATATATATATACATATATATATATATATATATATATATATATATATATATATATATATATATATTTTTTTTGTTTTGTATTAATATGTCAGTTTAAATATATAAATGTGTGTGTGTGTGTGTGTTTACTTTGTATTTGTATGAATATATTGATTCGAATATGTACATATGTTATTTGTTTATGTATAAGTTATTTGTATTTATATGTTTATATATATATATATATATATATATATATATATATATATATATATATATATATATATATATGTATATATGATATATGTATATATGGATATATGTATATATATATATATATATATATATATATATGTATAGATGATATATATATATTATTTGAATATATATATATATATATATATATATATATATATATATATATATATATTCAAATAAAAAAAAGAACAGTACGATATGTAATCCGGTGTTCTTATTGATACTTTTTTTTTTTATTTTTTACAAAATAGTGCTCAATGTAAATTTACAAAGCATTAATAATATAAATTAACTGATTTAAAATATGGTTTTTTCGCTACACAGTAATAACCATGTTTCAAAATTGAAACTAAAACGTTAAATTTAATTTTGTAATTAAATTAAAAACTTTAGTTCCATTTCATCCTCTAGCGAATTTTGGAGTAACTTATTTTTAAAATATATATATATATATATATATATATATATATATATATATATATATATATATATATATATATGGTGTAAGTGTGTTGTGTGTGTTACCTCAAAATCAAAACATCAACCTGAAAACCGGAGTCATGTTCTTAAATAACATCATCAAAACGAGACTTTAATATCGATCTCATCATGCTTGGTGTTAAAACCGATCAAAAATAATTAAACTCTCAACCACTTCCTAAGGTCTACGGCGTTAAAAGGCTTTGAGCGAGTAAAGTCAGAGGGTTTTGGAAATGGTCATCCTTCTTAGAATATTGTGGACTGGCGCTACAATATCACAACCAAAGAAGATTACCAAATAACAGAAACCCCATCACTTGAGGACTACCAACAGCAGCAACAACTAAAATGGATAGCACATGCCATTTGAAAGTAATAATCAAGAGGTTAACATTCCACACTACTTCAAACAAAAGGTGAGGAAGGAAACATCCATCAGTACTGTAACGAGTGATAAAAGCAACGAGATTTGAAAAACCCGTTTTCCTAAAAATCGTTTTTAAGAGAAAGGTTTTATAAATTTCAATCAAAAGAATTACTGGTCATTCGGAAAATGAATGCCAAATGTTTCCTTATAGAGAAACTGCTACTATTTCCATTACCATCAATGATGTTTTATCAGATTATATTTTATGCCCGGGTTTTTAAAATGACGGAGACAATTTTCTTTAAAAATCAATAATTAAGCCTTGGAATTTCCTTGATGATGAAAACGTGTGATATGGCGCCAATACAGCGTCATCAACAGACTAGGATATATATATATATATATATATATATATATATATATATATAGAGAGAGAGAGAGAGAGAGAAATAGATAGGTAGATAGATTCGAACCAACTGATATAGATAGATAGATACATAAATGTAAACTAAGATAGAGAGATAGATAGATATGCAGATAGATAGACAGACAGATAGATGGATAATTAGATAAATATACACGGATACAAATAGATAGATAGGTAGTTAGAAAGAAAGAAAGAAAGAAAGAAGTGTACTTAGAAAGAAATATATTCAGATTGATAGAAAGAAAGAAATTCAGATTGATAGATAGATAGATAGATAGATAGATAGATAGATAGATAGATAGATATTTTCTAAAACATACGTTTTGATGAAGTTTTTTTTTCCAGTTGGATATTGCTTACTTTTGTTTCTTTCTTTCTATTAACGACGTCGTCTTTTTACTTTACCTGTAAAGCGTCTACCGCTTCAGTCGGCATTTTACTTACCAACCTGCATAACTATTTATCCCCTAATTACTTGCGTATATCTTGGATCTTTTTCAAAGACAGATTTCCAGAGTCAGCAAAGCCCAAATGCTATCACGGGACTTGTTCGCGTTCCCCACCCGACTTTGCAAACAAATTTCAATGGTGTTTGGTGTATTTACAAGAATTCACAGCTTGGCAAAAAGAGATTAAATCACAACAGAAATCTTCTCTCAGGAATATCGTCTTCATTTCAGTTACGCCACTGAAACAGAACGATGTCTAACCAAAGGTACATCTTATTACGCACCTTGAGATCCTTGTCATCTTTATTATTTTAGTTGATATGATCTCCTTCCAGTAGGGAATGTGTCTTTTGTTGCAAAATGATTAGCATATCTCAAAACACCTTTGTGGTAGCTCCCTCAGTGATGTTTATTCCTGGTGTCATTGGAGGTTTCGAGCCTAAAATGTATCAGTCCTTCTCTTCCAGGCGGTCTGACCAGGATCAATCACGTTCTGGTCAGCATGCCAGACTATGTTAGTTGAATCCTCGAAATTTGGCCTCAGCTTATGTCTGTTTGGCTATCATGGATTTCAGCCAATGAAAATTGGTTTTACAGTTACTGCGGTCTTCGTCTTTCTCTTTATTGCCATTGCATTTTTCCCGCCTATTTTTCCCAATTGGTTACAAATGTTTTCATACATAAACTGAAGAAGTATAATAATTTTAGGATGACTTGCGCCTAATGTTATTCTAGACTTTTACACAATGAAACTGTCCTGCAACTGACATTCGTTTTACTACTGACGCCATCTTACAATCACATCGACAGAGTTATATAAAAAGTTAAAGCTTGTAGTGTGATTGCCAGAGTGTTCTAGTATTTTTTTTATTGTTAATGATTGATGGGAGGAGATATTTAGGGATAAGTGGGGTTGTTTCTTGAATAAGAGATATTACGAGATTACATACCAGATTTGCAAATATTATCATTAATGAGCTTAATATCTTATTATAATTCTGTTTGTCCCCCTCGTTAGCACGATCGGTACGCCCTGCCAATGCTTAATAAATAATGGACTATTCCGTTTTGATCATGTGGAAAAACGGAAAACATATCAATGACGTTAGCTGGTTTCATCGAGAAAATGAATGAATGAAAGAAAGAAAGAAGGTAAAAGTGTTTAATGTCTCCTGTCAAATGCCTAATAAAGAATCCACTATTCCGTTTTGATTGCGTGGAAAGGCGGAAAAAACATATCAGAGACGCTACTTGGTTTCAGCGACAAAATGAATGAAAGAAACAAAAAAAAAAAAAAGGGAAGGTAAAAGTGTTTCATGTCTCCTGCCAAATACCTCATAAATAATGGACTATTCCGTTTTGATCACGTGGAAAAACGGAAAAAACATATCAGAAACGCTACCTTTAAGAAAAAAAAAACAGAAAGAAAGAAATAATGGGATATAAATATGTTTAACATCTATTTCAGTGAAATGGAAAAAGTTGTGAATTTCAATTTTTTTAATTTCTACCCCCTTACTTAAAATAATGACCGACATTCATATTTATTATTGTTATTGCAACATTTGGTTAAGCTCAAATATTTAAAGATGCCATAAGAGAATTTCTAGATATTTTATTTTCATAGAATTCACTATGAGCGTATATAGTCATTAAGCATTAAGATTCGTTAGAATATGAAGCTAGAAAAACTCTGAAATTTTCACGAGTGCTTCTATCAGGTCATCCCATAAGTTCTGTCCGAATTTTAACTTTTTGTTAAAATGAACGAAATTTAAAGAGTATTTTATAATGTCTAATGGAGCTGAACATTATTTTTATGTTTAGATGCATTTAAACTGATCAAATTTTATTTCAGAGAACAATAAAATTAAATTTTGTTTGATTAAAACCCTGCTAACATGGAAGTACCCAAGAATCATTTGAGGCACATAATGTTTTATGAGTTCAAGAAAGGAAACTCAGCAGCCGAAGCGGCTAGAAACATTCACTCAGTTTATGGAAAGGAATGTGTGAATGAAAGAACTTGCAGAAGATGGTTTGCAAAATTAAGAGGTGAAGATTTCACCCTTGAAGATGAAGATCGAACCGGACGTCCAGTTGAGTTTGATGAAAAGCTTCTTGATGCAGCCTTTGAAGAAAATCCTGCTTTATCAGTTGAGGAATTGGCAGTGGTTCAAGTTCAAACCATACAACTGTTCATCGTCAACTTCAACAACTTGGAAAAGTTCCTAAACTTGGAAAATGAATTATCTGAAAACAACCTCAAATCCCGAGTTGACATCTGCTCTTCTCTCCATTCTCGCCAACTTGTTTCACCTTTTTTGGATAGACTTGTGACTGGCGACGAAAAATGGATCTTTTATCGAAATGTTAAGCGTCGTAGACAGTGGCTTGGTAAAGAGGAAGGACCCCAGCCACAGCCGAGAAGGGAACTTCATGGGCAAAAGGTTCTTCTTTCAATCTGGTGGGATCGCCAAGGAATAATCCACTTTGAATTCTTACCACCTAATACAACAATTAATGCTTAAATATACTGTCAGCAATTAGAGCGTTTGAACCAAGCTTTGAGGAAAAAAGATCTGCTCTAGTGAATCGAAAAGAGGTGATGTTTCATCAGGACAATGCGCGACCCAACACAGCAAGAATCACGTCGAAGAACTTGGTTGGGAGAAAATTCCTCATCCACCTTATTCTCCCGATCTTGCTCCTTCAGACTACCATTTGTTTCGTAGCTTACAGAATCATTTGAAAGAAAGAGCTTTTGTAACACAGGAAGAGGTTAAAACTGACATTTGTGAGTTCTTCGAATCAAAGCCAAAAGAATTTTACAGTAATGGAATTAGTAAGCTTGTTAATAGATGGAAGGAAGTCATAGATAATCAGGGAAAATACATTGTTGATTGAATCTGTAATTAAATGTAACATTTGGTCACTTGTTTTATTTATTCAAAATTCGGACAGAACATATGGGATGACCTGATAGTTTGGACTAATTCTGTATTGAATCTATTGAGAGGACGAGTAACATTATTTTGTAATCTCATGTTGAAGCCTCTAACCTGTTGGCTAACAATTAGTTAATATTGCTCATTGAAGAACGAAAGAAGTACAGAAAACGTTTTCAGTAAACCTCGAATACTGAATACAACAGATCAGGAGACGAGTAACAAAGTCTTCGTATCAAATAGATAAAATATCCCCGGAAAAATCACTTTAGGTAAACATACAGTTTGTCTATAATGAAAAACACTATTTGAAACATGGCAGCTGACGATGTTTATATAGAAATGGTAATGATAAAATAGCCATTTTCATACAGGAAACAATTAGGCATTTATTGACTAAACTGTTAGCATTGGTTGAATTGTATATATATATATATATATATATATATATATATATATATATATATATATATATATATTTGAAACATGGTTAGAACTGTGTTCCGAAAAAACATATTTTTAAATAAATTAATTTATTATATATATATATATATATATATATATATATATGTGTGTGTGTGTGTGTGTGTGTATATATATATATATATATATATATATATATATATATAGAGAGAGAGAGAGAGAGAAGCATGTTTCGTTGAATAATTTAGACATGTTCTGTCTGCTTATTTTCAATAGGATCTTTTCATGTTCGCGGATAAGCTTTTCGCTGTCATTATTTCTGAGTTCTTTCGCCATAGCAATGTCATCATCACGGTATTGTAAGGTTTTCACTAATAGTTTCATTTGGTTTCTCCTTTTATTACTCATTTCTAAAAAAAAAAAAAACTCTCTACACCATACTTAGTTACCTCCCCTTAAATGATTTCAGCGGTCACGCACTGACGCAGCGTTCCTCATTCCACTTGGAAGAAATTTAACTTTCAGATAAACAAAACAATTTTGTCTTCGATAATAATGAGCACTACAATATTTGCCTTGCTATAAACAATACCCTGGTGATGACATCGTGCATTGTTGGAAGGACTTTGAATAAAAGAAATATGTAATCAACAGGGCGATTATCCATGAACATGAAATGATCCAGTTGCAAATAAGTAGACAGAACATGTCTAAATTATTCAACGAAACATGTGTCAATGAAAACATGCTGCCGAAATATACGCACACACACACACACACACACACACACACACACACACACACACATATATATATATATATATATATATATATATATAGGTAATGAAAAGTTTGGTAATCCGTATGGATAATCCTCCCAAGGAGGATGTAATCCAGAGAGCTCAATGTCAAAACAGAGCAACTATTAATTTAATTTAATTAGAAAACAGACAACCTTAAGGGTCCATTGCTTATATTTTATTTCCCCAGGAAGGTGTTTTTTCCTGGTTCCTCAGATGACATTTACAAGCGTAAAAAATAGTTTTAAATTTACGTATTATTTAAATAATTGTTGGACTTGCGGAGCCTTGGGGCACCTAGCCAAAGCGTGAACCACCAAAAAATCACAGCCTCCCAGCGACGATGGCAATAATATCAAAGGCAACAACAGTAGCAGCAGCAACAGATAATGTCCCCGATGGTGAATGGAAGAAGGTGAAGGGAGGAAAAATACCAACACGCCCTCGTCCCAAAAACATAATGTCCTATCACCCAAAAAGAACGGCCAAAGGAGGCAAAGGAGCAGATAAAGAAGGTGCAGCATAATCCTGGAAAGCAGATGAAAGAGAAAAAAAAACATCTCCAAAAACAGCAGCAATAGCAACAATAACAGCATGAACAAGAAAAGCAGCAGCAGAAGAATTTTGACACAGACATGGAAGTGGAAGCATTTGCATTACAGAGGATTAGCTGCGAGCGTGTGATCACGGAGGGCGAAGTTCACTTGGCATTGAAGAGGGTCGGTAGTAACCATTCTCCGGGACTTGATGGTCTGCCAAATGAAATGTACTTGAGGCTGTTGCATATCTTTATCCCGATTTTGACTGTTGTGTTCAATAACTTGTTCCGGCAGGGGGCTATCCCCGACCTGATTTCCAGGGGTGTGAACACGCTGTTGAAAAAGGTCATGGGTGTTGCGAGGGATTTAGATGATTACAGGCCCATAGAAAAACCCAAAAAACCAAACTATTATATAATATAAAATAGTGGGAGAATTTTTACTATGTTTTATTTTTAAAATATATTTTATTAGAAAAAACATTTGGATCACTAATGTCTGAAGAAATAACTTCGAGCGAACCTTGTAGATCTTAGACAGGATCATTATCCTTCGAACCTCATGAACTGGCGCTAAATAATCACAAACAAAGAACGCTACCAAATAACAGAAACCACATCACTTGCGGACTTTCAAAAGCGGCAACGACTAAAATGTGTAGCTCATGTAACTCGAATAGAAAATAATGATATAATGACGATGTTGACCTTCCAAAATTCTTTGCATAAAAGGTTAAGAAGGACGCTCCCATCAATACTGAAAAGAATTGGAATGTTAGTGAACCCAAGAAAACTATTCTTCTACAAAAAATTGTTTTAAGGGAATGATTTTCTATCAACATTAGCATTGGTTGTTCGGTGCTGAATGATTCCTTATAAGCAAGCAGCTATTATTACCAATAACCATTTGCTACCATTATCTTCACATAGAAAAAAAACAAGCACCACCCCTGCCTCTGAGAGTTTCAATCCGGTGAACGACATCCTCTAACTGAACTTTGGTTAATTTTTATCTCAAGGCAAAAAGGAGATGATGCTATTTTTGCTATGGATGCTGAATTCAAGGGGAAAAAACGAAAGCAACGGTTTATGCTGATTGAATTTCTTGTAACTATTTTGATCTTTTAGACAACTTATAAGAAATGTTTCTATAAAATAGTCGATTATTATTTCTAAAATGTTATCACTTCCAGAAATTCAGATGCTTCTATTTCTGCCACTGAAGAAATTTAATTTTGTCCGGATTTCAACTGACTTCACTTTTCAATCTGAACGTCTTCATGGCTTCAACTCCAGTGCACATTTAAAAACAGGACACTTTGTAGTATTTGCTTAAGAAATTAAATCAGCTTCTTTTTTGCTTAAACTTATTTAGCTTTTAAAGTTATTTTTAATTCAAGCCGCGCTATAATTTGACAACATTTACTTCTTATCAATTATTGTATGCTTGTTTTCTTTTCTTTATGTACTTTTTATTCATAATTAAGTGTACCTGTTTTCATACCAGTTCGATGCCCTTCCAGTAGATGGCGTTCGTGCTGTTAGTGAAACGAACGAAACCAACAGAGTGCGCCCTACTGGGCACGGATTTCGCCTATAAAGAGCGATTTAGCACTTCGCTTCACAGATAAATTTTAATTAGTGACGTAGACATCGTTTGAAGGGGAAATTTATTTGCAAACATATCTTAATACGTTCGTTCTTACATTAACTAATGAAGATTAATTATAATTTGTAAACACTCTAAATAATTGGTAATGTTATGTTGAATTAGGTTGGTGGATATGACGACATATTAAACTTTGTTCGGTTGTTTAAATGTGTTTTTATTATGTTTGAGACAATAGATAAACATGGGATTTATGCTTGAGTCTATAGACAAGCATTAGTCAGATTTGTATTTAAGTTTATAGTTAAGCACTGGTTGACTTTATACTTGAGATTATAGATAAAAAGTAGTCGGGTACTTACTTGAGTGTATAAAATATTAGTAGGAATTATACCTGCACCTTTCAAATTCGTCAAGTTCGAGGAGTTTTCATCGATTGCTAACTTTAATCGGTTCAACTGAGGAGGGTACTTATCTAAATTTAACGTCTGATTTTTTGACAGGGGCTCATGATAGACAATACACTTCCAAACCCATCAGAAACACAGCAAAAGTTTCTTCGAATGCTGAGTGACTTTTGTAATGGTTAACGATGACTCATTTCTACATTCTTTCTTTCTTTCTTTTCCTTTTTCTTTCTTTGACTTCATTTTCTTGAAATTTCTTAAAATTTCTTCTTCACGTTTCTTTTCTTATTTTTCACGTTTCTTTTCTTCTTAATCTTCCTCTTCTACTTCACGTTTTTTTTCTATTTTCCTTTCATTATTTTCGTTCTTTTCTTTTTCTTTCTTTGACTTCATTTTCTTGGAATTTCTTTCTTTTTTTTTCACGTTTCTTCTTCTTTTATCGTCTTCCCTTCTTCGCCTTTCAGTTTTTGTCTTCTTCTTCGCCTTTCTTCCTCATCTCCCTTCCCGTTCTTCTGGTATTTCTTCACTTCAAATATTTTTCTTTTGTTTTTTATCGTTTCCTTCTTTCCCTTTATTCCTTTTTTTTTATTTCACCTTTTTTTTTTGTTCCACTTTTTCATCTTCTAAATCTCCTACATTAATTAGTAATCTTCTTTTTCACTTTTCTTTTACTTTTCCATTTTTACTTATTTTCTTCTTCTTCCTCTTCTTCTTCATCTTCTTCTTTTTCGTCTTCTTCTTTTTCGTCCTCTTCTTCTTCTTCGCTTTAACCATTCTTCTTTTTATCGTTTTTCTCCTCTCCCTCTATTTTTCTTCTTTGTTTCCTTTCTTTTTTATTTCGCCTCTCTTTTATTTCTCTGATTATTTTGTTGTAGTTCTTCTTACTGTTCTTCTTCATTTGCTATTGTGTGAAGTGGTCATAATTTGCCAATTATTCAAGATAATGCTACATGCACTTGCCGACCCCCCCTGAACCCCCGCCCCAAATCAACCAAACCAAACTAAAGCGAAACCACAAACTTTCTAATCGTGTCCTTCATCTTCTCGCCCTCATTCACCGCATAAAGAACGTAATCCTCGTCTCCAAATGATCTTGAATAAACAACAGGTACACCTGAATGGCGGACTAAAATTCGTATTTAATTACTTCTTCGCGCGTCTGTACGACTCATTCACTTACTGGCCGACCGTTCGTCACCTCTTCATCAGGCTCGAACGATTTGGTCAAATTAAAGCAAAGATTTTCTTTGAAATTTGAGTTGTCAGATTTATACCGCAAATATTTTCCATATAAATAGATATGAAAATAAACAAAATATGGTGGTGCTACAATTTCTAACGATAGAATAATGTAGATTTTCTTTCGCATCTTATCACGTAACGTAAATGTTTTTTTTTAACTGTGATTCCTAAAATAGAGAATTTGCAGCCTTTTAGCCAAATGAGTCCGCATAACTTCCACAATGTCATACTGGGAATTAATTTCCAAATGTCCTTGCTGCCTGGCCCCGATGAAGATTCATGAGTGATTTTAAGCGCCTGATGTTCCGACATTCTTTCTTTATATGTGCCATGTTCTTTCAGGACGTAGGCGATCATGGCTCTCCGCCTCCCACTATCCCTCGCTACTCTCAATAAGTTCCTTCTCTCTGCTATCTCCCCCAAACTATGCTTTGTCATCCTCTTGTTTAAACCCACCAGAAATGCCATGCTTTCCCTTGTCTCTTTTCACCTCTATTCGACCCGTTAGTATCAGATTCTCAAGGCCCTCCTTTCTCATTATGTGTTGCAGAAACCTCAGCTGCCTCTTCTTGATGCTAAGTATAAGCCTCCTCCTTGTCTGCATTCTTTCCAAGCCGTCGTCGTTGCTCACACGCTCGGTTCACGAAATCCTCAGCAGCCTTCTGTAGAACTACATCTCCGTCGCCTCGCGTCTTTCCTTCATCCTTGAGGAAATCGTCCATCATTCGATGTCGTAAATAAGGACGGATGTCACGTATCAGCTCAGTATTCTTTTCTTTGTTATCAAAGAAATCCTCCTGTCTCGCAATACTCTGCCCAGCTTTCGGAGTGCGTCCGTGGCAATCCCAGTGCGTTTACGGATCTCAGTGTCGCACTTACCGTCCTCTGTCAAGACGCTTCCCAGATATTTAAACTTCCGCGTCTGCTTGATTCTAGTCTTCTCGACCTGCAAATCGCATTTCGGGCTCATCCTCTTGCGGATGAGCATGCATTCCGTCTTGTTGTAGTTTCTGCTTAGTCCTTTCTTCTAACCCTCCAACGCTATCAATGAAAATAAAATTAATAACGATTTCTTTACTGTGTTAACATTGGCTTATTTGCAAGCATAAAACCTTCTTTTAACCCTCTGAACTTGAGGGGCTGTATTCCGTTTAAAGTCACGGGCAACAGAGCATTCAATGGGTCAAATTTACCATCCTATTCAGAGAGTACGTGTGTAAAGAGAGGGTAATGAAGGGTATTATACGAATACTGGGCTATGAAAAGCGTGAAATATAAAAACCAGGAAATATTTTTCATTTGCTGTTCCTCCAGGGTGTGGTCAGTCATCGCACTTTACAGAATCCTTTGTTTTATTGTCTGTCAGCTGCCATGACATATGGTGAAACATAGGGGTTGCCTATTGCCTTCTGCACGGTTTTGATTTCAGATTAATCCTTCTCCTACACTGGTTACCATACTTATTCCGCTATTTAACCCATAGCTGTGAGATATGAAAGAGATTCATGTATTTATAAAGCATTAGGGCAAAAACGAACGCAAAAAACTTAGGCTATTGGATCTTGTTTACCAATTATTCACCTAATACAAACCAAAGAGCCTCTCAAGGTAGAGCTTTACTGAATGAAGTAATTGTATGAAGGTAAGAGGATGAGGCAAGAAAGGTGGATTATGAGAATATGTAGGAAAGATAACGATTACCCTAGGCTTGATAAGGTAGCATCCTCTTGGGAGTATTTTCAACAAATTAACGGTTCTTGGGAAGAAGTTGTCCTATGAGAACTTTCTCTCGTACCAATGGAAGACGAAAGGAATGTGGATGAACGTGGTATGGAAAATTTTAGCTGTGAAGGTT